TTTAACACGTGCAATGTGTATGAATAGTATGCAACTGCAGTGCATATTTTAGTAATGTTAATAAAATTTTGGAAATATTATTTAAAACAAAAATACTTGTGAATTATAATTTTGATAATCCCTAATATCTAATATTCTAGGTGACCTATCACTAATCCTAGGTAATGAGAAACGTTAGATTTCTAGATTCAAACAAGTAGTTGGTTGTCAGCTGTTTCCGGTGAGACAGAGTACGATAAAAAAATGAGTTGACACTTCAGGTGATCGAAGGGCTGGCTGCTACCTTGGGCAAAGGTTAAGCATTGCCATCCAACGTGCCAATGCTGTCAGTCTTTTGGGCACCCTATCTCACGATAGCGATGAGGAAATTTTTTTAATGCCTTAAAATAGCATAATTATTTATTATTATTACTTTTTAAGGTGTAAATATTTTACTTTGTAGTTAGTTATATTTTACGTTGTATATATTTATTTATAAATATAATTATGTATTTCTCTTATAAATACAAGTAACACTATGGACAAGTAGTATTTTTGCTCTAAATAACGATTTTTATAAAAAGATTCCTTTCAGTTCTACGGTAAAACCCAATTGGTAAACCAAAGTGCGTTAAAAAGGTTAAAAGTGTACTAGACGACTTTCGACCAGGATCTTATTTGACCATTAATTTTTCCACATTAACAAGATATAAACTAAAGAATATTTTTAAGGTCCGAAGCAGGAGATGGAACGGGATGGAATTTAAAACACAACAACTACGAATATTAAAACCATAAACATTATTTTGCTCTCAAAAATGTTTATTGCGCAATATTAATGCGCACAACACATGATTAGGGAATATTGAAGTGTGGGAGAGCCACACTTCGGCACGAATGGGCCGGCTCGACCGGAGTGATACCACGACGTCACAGAAAACCGACGTGAAACAACGCTTGCGTTGTGTTTCGTCGTGTGAATGAGATTACCGGAGGCCCAATTACTCCTCCCCAATCTTCCTTATCCCTGAATCACCAAAAATCCTCAAATTTCCGATCTTCAAAAAGCCTCTAACGCACATGTAACATCTCTGGTGTTCCAGGTGTTCATGGGCGACGCTGATTGCTAACCTATCACTAGTTGATCCGTCTGCTCGTTTACCGAATTATCCCATAAAAAAGAAAAAAATATTCAAGCATTTTCTGGCACTATGACACTGCTAAAATCCGCTTTCTTAAGACATCAATTAGATTTAGTTTTTGTTTTTAGTTTAGTACAACCCACGACACAGCACCCAAATCCTTTTACAACCTTCATACTATCGCGACCATCTCAATCTCTGTAGGTAATCCTATTAGCCTATTACTATTACATACGAACTTTACAAACAATCAAATCAATCACATAATCTAGAATCTAGATCATGCTTTGAACCAATGTATTTAGATTCGAAGATGCTAATGGAAGCGATATATTTTGAAAGTTTAAGGTCTGATGTAGATGGGTGCATAGTTTTTGTTTATGCATTGCATCCTTATTATAAACTTAAGGATGTGAAAAGACATTTGTTTGTTAACAATGATGATGTCATAGACAGTTTTATAATATGACTTTTATGTTAAGAAATAAAATACCGAAGAAAGTTACAGGCTATTTATTTTCTTTGGACACCGCGGGTGAGGCTGAGTCGGTAAAGAAAAACAAACAAGTGAATTTATTTATGTAAATATAATACAAGGCATCAATTTTTCAAGTCCATGATAAAGCCAACATTTCCTTACTGACTACTCTAAGAAAGAAGACCGGAACACACTCAGAGGTCTTTGTTATGGTAACGCACATTGGAACAAATGACGATTGATATATAACGATATAAAACTCTACATCGCGCAAGTGAAATTGATAGAAAATTCCTACGAAAAACTGTTGGGCAGTAGCCCACTAGGCACGATCATCTCGTCTAGTTCTATATTCTATAAAATCCTCCATTTCTTAGGGAACTTTACTCTCTGTTCCCTAGAAGTATTTTATATCATGCAAAACTTCTTACAACAATCCTAATAATTGATATGGATTATGGATTGGGTATGGACCCAGATTAATTATTAGGTATAATTATTATTTACAATAAATATGCATAATATAGTTTAAAAATCATAAGTACCTAGCTTCCGTTTACAAGTTACTTTATTTTCGTGAACCGGAATTGATGAGGTGATCAATTACTTCACTCCGATTTACTGCTAATAATAACTAACTACTTAATTGATTTTTATCATCAAACACGAGTTTTGATATACTTTCAGAATTATGTCCTTGTGAACAAAGTAAATGTATAAACTTAGTCTATCGTTTACCGCGGGTTCACTTGTGGAGTTGTTACACCTACAAAAAATACTATTAACATAAAAATGATCTCATTTAGGTACTTGTTACATACATAGCATATTTGAATCAATTCGATACATTCCCCATTATATTTTATTTATGCAAATAATAAACAAATTTTTTATTTCTATCGCAAAATATTTCAAACTTAATCAACATGTAGGTTAAACATAAAAACAAATATTTAATAAGCATCATACAAAAATATTTTGGACTAATACACTAATACATTTATAAATGCATAACATAACATCACGCCTTTTATCCCCGAAGGGGTAGGCAGAGGCGCACATTACGACACTTAATGCCACTATACCTATCTTTGACTATACACTTGTTCACTATTTATGTTATGAGTCCCTTGTAATGTGAGCCTATTGCCATATACCAGGCACATGTCCAGACTACGTGCTACTACTGAGATTTTTAAAAACCCAGTAATACTTTGTCCGACCCGGGAATCGAACCCGAGACCCCTGGCCCGGCAGTCACATTTGCGACCACTCGGCCAACGAGGCAGTCAAATTTATAAATGCATTACCAACAAACTAACTGTCGCATCTTAATACCTATATTTAAGTATTTATTAATTAGAATTTAGGAACGTTGCACAAATCTAGAGCACTTTCAAATATACTTATCAGCCGCCATCTTTACTATGATAAAGCCTTCTTTCATATTTTGTGACAGCCAACATTTCACCTTTTAACAAAATATTAAACCTTTAATTCGCTTAAAGATTTCAGAATGTTACGCAACTACTCAATGATCTTACTGACTTCTGTTGTTTGATTAGTAAAATAAATAATTATAACATTTTATGTTTAGTTAAGGACAAATGAGACACATAACATCACGCCTTTTATCCCCGAAGGGGTAGGCGGAAGTGCTCATTACTTTTATTTACATATTTACGCTTCTGTATATAACATACGATGGCGGACTTAATGCCGGGTGGCATTCTCTAATAGTCAAACCATGGGGTGATGCAGAGATGTGCAACAGTAGGTATAATAGGTATTGTAATTCAATTTATGTTCCACAGAATAAATCTATATAAATAAATTCATAATTATGCATAACTGTAAATACATGCATATATCCATATTATCATTACGGCACTTAATGCCACTGTGCAAGGTAACACCCACTTTTCATTATTAATATTATGAGTCCCATGTAATAAGGGGTGTGCCTATTGCCATATACCGGGCACAATTCCAGACTCCGAGCTACTACTGAGATTTTTTTTATAACTCAGTAAAACTTTGCCCGACCCGGGAATCGAAGCCGAGACTCCTTGCCCAGCAGACCACTCAGTCAACGAGGCAGACAGACGGATGAGAATTTATAAATTTCCTGACTTTAAGTAAATACCTGTCAAAACTAAGGCCTGCTGAATGCAGGTCACTTCCGACCGATCGATCTAGAAATATCGAGGGATGCTCTTATTCAATAGGTCTTGTTGCATAATGATGAATGGCAATAGGCTCACTCTCTATTACAGACAGTAGGCTCACCCCCTATTACATGGGACTCGAAATATAAATAGTGAAAAGTGAGTGTTACATTGTATAGTGGCATTAAGTGCCGTTATGTGCACCCGTACCTACCCCTTTGGGGATAAAAGGCGTAATGTTATGTGTTAATGACAATTGTGTTACTAGGGTACTATCCGGAGGATGGATCTCACACCTCATACAAGAATACACAATCAAACTGATAGTTACTGGTTAAATATTGCCATAAAACACCTCCCATATGTAAAAGATACGATCACAAGCAACAGATATTGTTACGACACGATGTAATGATCTCGATTCACGCAATCCAATAACATTCAAGATCACGACCCAGACAGTGAACTGATATCAATCGATGAATCGATACTTTCGTTTAAAATCGATATATCGGATGTTGATGTTCGATTTTAAGGCTCCCCGAATATACTATTGTTATTTTTTTTATAGAATAAAGGAAACCGAGTAGGCTGATTACTTTATGACTTCTGCAATATGTGTGCCTTTATCCAAACGCCAATTTTGCGCTTGTCTACAGAGAGAGTAGAAATCAAAATCTATGGGGATGACACTGACAAGTGTCAAAATTTAGGTACGTCAATTCCATGTTATTTGGTTTTCTATTCTACATGTAGACAAGCGCTAAATGGTATTTGGCTACAGCTGCTGGGGCGTTAAAAGTGACATTACAAATTATTCGATTTATTGACCACGATAATTGAAATTAACGAATTATTGCGTATAGGAAACCTAAGGAGAGTGTAAATAATCTTATGTACTTAAATAATTACTGACTTAGGTATCTGAGATATTTTAATTTCCTTATATATTTTAAAGAAAGGCAACGTGCTAATGAATGTAATAAAGTTAACAGTCATTCTATAGTTTTTACAATACAAAATAAAACACCAGTAACCAACGGTCCTTATCCCCATAATATATTAATGGAATCCTTGAAAAAAACAGTAAGATTTGACATACGAGGTCGATCACGTTCGGTAGTTCAAAAAAGCTACCAACTAATTACATGAGGTATCATAGCTCTGGTTTATTATTTGAGCTATAAAATGACGTCAGACGCGTGTGTTCAGGATCGACAGTAGATGGTATATAATGGGTCAGTCGAGTCGCAGCATCACAGTCCAATCTGAGCATCAACCATCTTAGGTTTGAAGTGTTCCAAGAACAAAATATAAAAATGAAATTGGTAATTAATTTTTGTTTAGTGTTTAATGTATTGGTACAATGGAAATCAATTTTAGTGGCCATCTTAATAGTTAATCGTCGGAGATGCAACTTTTGAAAATTTTACGATCATTTTCTAATCAAATAGTTTGGCAATTATTTCGTGTAACATTAACTAGTAATTGAATACAATTATATATATTCTTTAAAATGTTAATTGACATACATATTGCAGAGATTTTCCTAACGATAAAAATGCATCGACAAAAATTATTGATGATTTTTTGTTTTCTCCAGTTCGTGATCGCTGCCCTCGTCGCCGTGGCCGCTGCTGGTCGTCTGGAACACCTGGAACGCTCCTACCTTCCTCCCGACAACTCCATCGGAGTCGCGAGGTCGTCCTTCGGCTCCAACGGAGGCTTTGGCTCCGGCTCCGGCTCCCACGGATCTTTCGGATCTAACTCTGGTGCCTTCGGCGCTGCTGGAGCAGGTCTGCAAGGCCGTAACGCTGGTGCTCGCTACTCTGGTGCCACCTCCAACCAGTACCTGCCTCCTAACCATGGACCTTCTGGTGCTCAGGGTGCTCCTCAGTTCGCTGGCTCTTTAACTGGTAAGAATTGAATGCTCAAACAAAATATAGTTTTGAAATAATACAAACCAAAATGAGTCATGGCATTAAAAATTCGGTTCTAAGACATAAATCAAAATAAAACAAATACAATTTAATTTAAATAAATTGATCTCGACAGTTATAGCAATAAAATCATTTGCATCGACCGAGATATTAATTAATATAATGAAATGATTTGACATTCATTATGAATAAACCAATACTGCGATGATTTTTTCTGGCAATTTGTAAATTTTTATAAGTCATAAATCATACTTTTGGTTATATAATTGGGTTTATATTTAAGAAATGTACATTTAATTGACAGTTTTATTTCGATTGCGATTTGATTAACTCTTATAAGCAGTTGTATTAAATCAAAATATTACCCATCTTATTCCAAGAGTGATTTTCAGTCAGCGGGTTGAAGTCTGATCTTTAACTTTTTTGAAAACTTCTTGTTTGATTGAAGCATCAGCACATTGAGAATATTTGTTAATGTATTACATGATTTCAGGTTTCGGTGGCCAGAACTTCCGTAGCCAGCAGCAATACAGTGGTCACGGCGCTGGTCATGGTGCTGCCCATGGTGTTGCTCAGCAGTACTCCGCTCCCAGCTCCCACTTTGGATCTCAGGGTTCCTTTGGATCTCAGGGCTCCTTCGGTGCCAACTACCAGAGCCAGTACTCCCAGCAGTCTGCCGCCACCAGCCGTCAGTACCTGGCTCCTCACTCCGGCTCCTACCAGAACCCTCCCCAACAAGCCTTCGACGAACAAACCGGATACCACTACTAAGAAGCACCGTGTAATGGTTTTAGTCAATTGAAACGGTTGTATGTATAATAATAAATAGCTGTATATATTATTTTGGAGATTTTATTTTTGACTTTTTTGAGTTATACTCAGTAAAAACTACCTTCTTATTGAGTAAGAGTGACTAATGTACTATATATTATCCCATTTATGGATATAATCTCAACCTACTAATTTCAATCAGCTATCACAAACCCGCATTGAGCAAGCGTGGTGATTAATGCTCAAACCTTCTCCGTGTGAGAAGAGGATTTGCTCAGCAGTGGGCATTTATAGGCTGTTGATGAAGATGATGATGATGATGATTAATTTCAATGGCTAGTTAGAAAGTTAGAAAAAAATGTCTAGAATCATCTAAGCCTTTACCTAAAAGACATGTATTATTGATAACTAAATCACAATTGATATACCAAAAGACCAGACTAAGGTAATGATCCTTAATTCCTTATACATACCTTGTCGTGAAGAACTTAACGGGTTACCGGAGCCTCGGCTCGAAGTACAGGAGAAGGAACGGGGTGGTTTTTAGTCAGTAAGAGTCTGACACTCCCTCCCGCCTTACACAGGCGGGAGCAGCCATTCGATGATTTTACCCACTTAAAAAAAATACATGAAAAAGTCTTTGCATCAAATGAATAATGACCCAGTACTATTTTAAGTTCAATGTTACGTTAGTACTATTGTATGTGGGACACAAAAAATAATCTGTGTCATTAGAGTAGTATAACGAATTAATAAATAGTTAAGTTATCACTTAAGCGAACATTCAACTTACCGCTAATGTTTTGCTAGGCAAAAAAGTTTTGTCTCTAATGTAACATAACATAACATAACGCCTTTTATCCCCGAAGGGGTTGGCGGAGGTTTACATTACAGTACTTAATGCCACCGTAACATAGTAACACCCACTTTTCACAATTTATGTTATAAGTCCCATGTAATAGGAGGTGAGTCTATTGCCATATACCGGGCACAATTCCAGACTCCGTGCTACTGCTGAGAATTTTTAAATACCCAGTAATACTTTGCCCGACCCGGGAATCGAACCCGAGACCCCTTACCCGGCAGTCGCACTTGCGACCACTTCGCCAACGAGGCAGTAATTTAATGAACTTAAAAATTGGTCTTGACGTGACTTGATAGATAGCATTTAAAATTTTCTTTAACTCGTCGAGTACCGGTTTTGTAGACACAATTATAGAACAATAGGTTGCGGTCACCGGTGACCGCTTGGTGTTTGACAGTTTAATACTTAGATTAAAATTTTATGGTCGCGACAACCAACACTTTTTTTGTGAGGGGAGAAAATCATCCAATAACTTCTTCAGCCCGGGTGAGGCGAGAGGGAGTCTCAGACTCTTACTGACTAAAAACCACCCCGTTCCTACTCCTGCACTTCGAACCGGAGCCCCGGCAACCCCGTTAGGCCTTATATTTAACTTGAAGTCACACTAGAAAACAAAGCACAGCATGAATCCCAGAACTGTAGCCCTTTTGAAAGTAAACTATCACTATGGATTGGAATTACGCATAGAACAAATGAAAATGTCTTACGTTTATGTAGGTAACTAAAGAACATTAAATTCGTTAAAGACCATCCCATATAATATTACAAGTGTTACTTCAATAACGCACAATCACTACCATTTAATTTTAATTCTCTCATAACTACAAAATAATTACAACTTGGGTACATCAAACGTAATAAATTCGTAGTCCATTCATGATCTACACATCGACGTCATAACATGTAATTAGTGGGATAGCAACAAATCGATTACGAATTCACGTGCAGAGCCATGCTTCGGCACGAATGGGCCGGCTCGATCGACGTGACACCACGATCTCACAGAAAACCGGCGTGAAACAAGGCTTGCGTTGTGTTTGGACGTGTGAGTGACGTTACCAGAGCCACAAAACATACATCCTCCCTCAAAAATCCAGCAATGTACTTGTGACTTCTTTGGTGTTGCGGGTGTTCGCTACCCAAGTGTTCATCGGTGATGCCAATTGCGTATCATCAGGTAATCCGTCTGCCCGTTTACCCTGTTATACCATAAAAAAACAGAAAAAATCGAGTAAAAAATTTTTAAAGCCTATTCGATTACGCAACATTACCAAACGGCTAATCGATTATATTCAATGGAAAGCGAAGTTCAGTGTCTGGGTCATGATCTTGAACATTTTAATTGCAGTGCGTGAATATACGAATAATTATGCTGCATGGAGTGGCATTGTGCAAAGGAAAAAGTGATTTATGGATGAATACATTAGTGTTATTATCATTAATCAATTGTACTGGACAAAGGCTTACACTTCTTTTGCGCTTGACAGTATGATATTATTTTTATCTCAATGTAATGAGCAAAACTCATCCCCAAAGGGAACATAAAAGTGTATATATTTTATAATATCACACCCACTTTTTAATATTAACTATGTTTTTAAGTGCCATAAAACAGGGAATGAATTTATTACCATAAATGGAACACGATTGCAAACACACTTTTTCTTTTGAGAGGGTTAATCATCCAATGGCTTCTCCCGCCCGGGTGAGGCGAGAGGGAGTGTCAGACTCTTACTGACTAAAAACCACCCCGTTCCTGCTCCTGCACTTCGTGCCGGAGCCCCGGTAACCCGTTAAGTCTTCCGCGGCTCCATTGCAGAGACACTGAACTATTAGTGTGCATTTTCGATAAACTGAAAATGTCTCTCTCCTATGTTTTTCCCTCATAACTGAGAATCGTGATCATCCTGGCATTACCCTGGATTGTACAAAATGTCTTCGTGAGCCACAGACCAGACTACGGCCATTTGTGCTATGGTGTAGAACCTTGATACTGGGTTGTTCTTAAGCTGGTCAGCCATCTAGTTGAAGGTCGGCTTCTCGTCTTAGTAGGGAGAAAATATTTCAATCAAACTCAAGACCTCTAGTTATCAATAAGTTATTCATAAAACTAGCTCATTTAAAACTCTCCACAAATCTGATTAATTTGCTTACCATTATAGATGCTTAATACATTATAATTTTTTTCACAAAAATCGTGATGATTGGCAGTTTAATATTACTTGTATATTATGCTGATAAGGATCAGAATAGCTTCAAACAGTTTTCATTAAACAATTTTATGAAGAAAAAACTATGAATGTTAACAAGTTAATAATATTTTAATAATAGAGTATAAAGTGTTTTTAAGCGTCAAATAGATTATAACTATTATTTAAATATCTTTTATAAGATCATCCTATGATTAGCAAATTAATTAGAATTATTTTGTGGTTTGTAATTTTGTCTACCTTTTGATTAATAATTATAATCTTTGTTTTTGCTTCAATTTAGTTCTTTTAACATTTTAAAGCTGTCAACACCTGCTGGATAGTAGATAAATGCTTTGTTACTTCACAAAAAATGTAGTGTAATATTGTCTAGACAAAATGATATGATGCTATCCTTAGGATTGTTGTTCGTTTAAGGGACAAATAGGTACTGGATTTATGTGTAAATGTATGAATTCCCTCGCATTTAAAAAAGGTCTATAATTCAGTAGGTAGTGTCACAGATTGTGGTGTTAATTAATAAGGTAAAACTTTGTAATTATTAGCTTTAGAGTACCCTCAATGTATCTATTGGTGTCTGATTTAAGGCTCAAAAAGCTTACGAAGGTGAAAGATATTATAGTTAATAATCAAAGTTAGAACTAATAATAGAAGTAAAATGTTTTTTCATAATATTATACACAGCTATTTATTTTGCATACATATGTACATTTGCTACAAGGATACTTATAGAACTAAGAAATTAAGAACTTAGTACTGGTATCCAGTTTTCTCGTCGAAAGCTTGTTGGGGAGAGCTCTGGTAGGTCTTGGGAGCCAGGTACTGACGGCTGGTAGCGGCAGACTGCTGGGAGTACTGGCCTTGGTGAGATCCAAAAGAGTTGGAGCCATGGGATCCGAAAGAGCTGGAGCCCTGAGATCCGAAAGAGCTGGAGCCCTGAGATCCGAAGGAGTGAGATCCCTGTTGAGATCCAAAGTGAGAGCTAGGAGCGGAGTACTGCTGAGCAACACCATGGGCGGCACCATGACCAGCACCGTTAGCAGCACCATGAGAAGCACCGTTTCCATTGTACTGCTGCTGGCTACGGAAGTTCTGGCTGCTGAAACCTGTAACGTACATGGATCATTAAAAAAATCGATTTCGATTATCGTGTCTTAATTTGTTAATTATTTATGGCAAATGTTACAGTATCCACAAAGTGGCTTTGTGGACTACAAATGTAAATATCGAGAACATCGACTCTTATGTAGTAGTACTCTTATAAAAAATCGTCTCATTGAGTCTTACCATTCAGAGAGCCAGCGAACTGAGGAGCACCCTGAGCGCCAGAAGGTCCATGGTTAGGAGGCAGGTACTGGTTGGAGGTGGCACCAGAGTAGCGAGCACCAGCGTTGCGGCCTTGCAGACCTGCTCCAGCAGCGCCGAAGGCACCAGAATTAGATCCGAATGACCCATGGGAGCCGGAGCTGGAGCCAAAGCCTCCGTTGGAGCCAAAGGACGACCTTGCGACTCCGATGGAGTTGTCGGGAGGAAGGTAGGAGCGTTCCAGGTGTTCCAGACGACCGGCAGCGGCCACGGCGACAAGGGCGGCGATCACGAACTGGAATGTTCAAAGTATGTTTAATTATACCATAATCAAACAATTAAAATTTAGCTTAACTTTCACTTTCAAAGAGTTTGAAGTCCAAAATTATTAATTTTTGGAATTTATCATTCTTTCATTGATTATATTTTATAACAATTGTTCTTGAGATATTTTATTTAATTACAATTTTATTATTTTAAATCTCAAACACTATATATTATATCAAACAAAATATTTACCAGTTTCATGTTGTAGTAGTTAGGTGGGTAGGTGCAGTGGAGTAGCAATGAAAGATGCTCAGATTGTACTGTGATACTGCAACTCGACTGATCCATTATATACCGGCCACCGATCCTGAATCAGCTGACGTCACCTCATAAACCAAACTAAATGATAGGCTAAGTAATTAGTTTTAAACATTTTGAGCTACTCAACGTGATTGACCTCGACTGTCAAATTTCACTGTGATCATCATGCCCAAGGATTTCTAGTAATGTGGATGGACAAAGGACCAAGATGAGTAGTTTGTTGGTACGCAGAATATTTGCATAGGAAGGGGGTTTCGTTTGGTATTTCATTGATTGATCCGTTCGTGTTTTTTTGTCGTCAAACTAGCGGTGCAAGTCATGATTGTAATAAGTCGAAGATACAGTATCACGATGTTATCCTAAAGTGTTATGTCACGATTTTGGATATTTCGGTGATTATTGTTTTCAGTATGACAAAGATCTACTTCTTAAACTGTCAAACACCAAGCGGTCACCGGTGACCGCAACCTATTGTTCTATAATTGTGTCTACAAAACCGGTACTCGACGAGTTAATTATTTATTTGTCAATATATTCCATAATTGGGTACTTGCCAACTATTCAAATTCAATACTTTTTTCGGACTCGCAAAAATGATAGTTTTCTGTGAATTTTGTACGAGATTGTTTATTGTGACGTCATGTTTATTTAGCGCCAAACAGCATACGTATTCGGTAAAAACTTGCTAAAAAATAGTAAAATTAAGTTGATCATAACAACAATTAGTAAAAGTGGGTATTTTTGATTAAGGCAAGAACCCATTTAATCGAATTTTTAACGTATCCATGATGAACCAAAAAGACCAATGAAATTGTAACACTAATCAATAAACAAATGACTGCATTCAGAAAAAAATGCATGCTTTTAATATAAAAATTATTTAAAATTAGAATTCCTAGTCATATAAAAGTTATTATGATTTGAAATGGCCAGTACTGACAGAACGGCATAGGCAAATACCAGTTAGTTGCGATTGAAATTTAATATAGGTAAAGAAAAAATATATCACGTTTACATTATTTGTTCTACCTCTATTTGCCTGCTATGCAGTATTTTTTATATTGATTATTTGATGTTTTATTGTGAATAAGAGTGTTTTAAAGTTACTATAAACCGTCATAATATTAGATTATCACCTTATAAGTTGATGCCAGATTATCGCCTTTGTATAACAGCATAAATGACCATTCAAAAACAGAAAATTCATAGCCTAATTAAGATGATACCTCATAAAATCTTTGAGGAATTATTATGCAAGCAGAGCTAACAGATACTTACATTCACTGTTGTCTATTATATTATGGGTCTTATTTTATATTGTAAAAATAAAATGTATTATACATATAATATAACATAACGCCTTTTATCTCCGAAGGGGTAGGCAGAGTTGTACATTATGCCACTGTACAATGTAACACCCAATTTTCACTATTTATGTTATGAGTCCCATGTAATAGAGGGTGAGCCTATTGCCATATACCGGGCACAATTCCAGACTCCGTGCTACCACTGAGATTTTTGAAAAATCCCAGTAATACTTTGCCCGACCCGGGAATCGAACCCGAGACCCCTTGCCCGGCAGCCGCACTTGCGACCACTCGGCCAACGCGGCAGTCCAGTCAGTAAAACATGAATAGGTAATAATAATTGTGTTGTTATACATGTCTATACATAATAATGAATCTGTAGGAGTATAAATTCTGTACATTGATAATTAAAAAAAAAACATTATGGGGTGATACTAGCCATACACCTAACCTAAAATGTGACTAAAAATTTTTTTGTGTGTCTGTATGTCTGTATATTCACGTATCACGCAAAAAGTACTGGTCCGATTACGATGATTACGATGAAAATCATAACATAACATCACGCGTTTTATCGCCGAAGGGGTAGGTAGAGGTGTACATACATTATGCCACTGTACAATGCAACGTCCACTTTTATCTATTTATGTTATAAGTCCCATGTAATAGGGGGTGAGCCTATTGCCATATACCGGGCACAATTTCAGACTCCGTGCTAGTACTGAGAATACATATAAAAAAACCAGTAATACTTTGCCCGACCCGGGAATCGAACCCGAGACTCCTTGCTCGGCAGTTGCACTGGCGACCACTCGGCCAACGAGGCAGTCTTTGATCTGACATTAAAATTAGATAAATAAATAAAACATAAAAAAATGCCTTCTATTTTTTACTTAGAAAATTTAGAAGGAATATGCTCATTTACTATGCTCATAAACTGACTCATATAATATCTAACATTGTTTTCGTAGTATCTGAACAGAACATATTACAAATAACACGAAGATCAAAGAAATCGATACGTATCAAATGAACTTGAACATGATATAATTACAATGCAACAGACCGACATGCTAATAGCACTCTTCTTTCGTAATTGTATTTCCAAGAAGCTATTGCAATATATGCTCTATTTTTGATAGGATTTTGTGAAACAACTTTTGCCTTTTTTTTCTCCTTGTTGGTAACCGAGTCTCCAATTTAGTTTCGTTGATTGTAGTTACATCTCATACATCACACAAGTGTGGGAGAACCATGCTTCGGCACGAATGGGCCGGCTCGACCGGAGTGATACCACGGCGTTACAGAAAACCGACGTGAAGCAACGCTTGCGTTGTGTTTCGTCGTGTGAGTGAGGTTACCGGAGGCACAATTACCTTCCCCTTCCCCAATTTCCCCAATCCCTGAATCCCCAATGATTCTCAAACTCCTGATCCCCAAAAAGTCGGTGACGTACTTGTAACGCCTCTGGTGTTCCAGGTGTCGATGGGCGACGCCGATTGCTTTGTGATCCGTCTGCTCGTTTATCGGCTTATGCCATAAAAAAAACAGCTTATAAATCCCAAAAGTCTCTTCTCCCACGGAGAAGGTTTAAGCATTAATCACCACGCTTTCTGAATGTGAGTGTGCGATTTCAAACTTATAATAAGAAATTATAAGCCCCTTTACCGTTTGTCAGTGGTGTCTAAATAATCTTAGAAAGTACATACAACTCGGAAAACGTTACGTTGGTATTTGCCGTTGGTAGGTTTCAAACTCTCCATGCATGAGAAGCGGGCGTCTTAAACCTCCGCGCCGCCACGCACTATGATGTACGTAGGTATAGTGCCTAGTTTAGCAACCCACTTCAATATGTCAATTTTGACATTGGTTTTTCGACTTTATACTCAAACGATAGAGTTTGCAATGTAATGTAATAGCGGTTTTCGAGTAAAATTGATATAATTAGCCCAGAGTCAAGAAGTCCAGCGTTTCCATCCCCTAGCTTCGGAAAGCACGTAAAGCTGTTGGTCTTGCACCTCATCTCTCTCCGGTCAGTCGGTCTGCCGTCCCATTGGGATCAGATAGTAAGGAAACAGAGAGTGCACCCGTGCCCACACACTGGTGCACTATAACATCTCCTGCGTAGTAGAAATAGACTAGCCCAATCTAATTGGACTTCAAGACTGCCAATACCCTTATGCCAGGAATATTCTGAACATAAAAATAATGTAATTGCAATCTATTGTAAATTAATAATTTACATTCTTATGACACATAAGTCGATACTTTTATTTATTATTTACTTAAAACTAACCAATGAAAGAAATACATGTTTTGTACTATATTTATTCACTTAAAACTTTTACATATTTGAATTTGAATCACTATTAAATTATGCCTTTAAAATTTTCTTCACAAAAGTATTTTACTCTTTATTTTATCACAATTATTTGACTAAAATAATTAAGTGCACGGAGCTGCTTAGTAGTGGTATCCAGTTTGTTCGTCGAAGGCTTGTTGGGGAGGTTCCTGGTAGGAGCCGGAGTTAGGAGCCAGGTACTGACGGTTGGTGGCGGCAGATTGCTGGCCGTACTGGCCCTGGTAGTTGGCACCGAAGGAGTTAGGCTGGTACTGTTGAGGAGCTTGGAAACCGTTGTACTGCTGGCCACGGTAGTTTTGAGCTCCAAATCCTGGAGAAAGTAAAAGGTAATTTAGTTTTACACTATTTTAGCTTACTGGCCAAATCATTCTTGTTCTCGTGTTGTGAAATAAATATCAAGATCCAGATTTTTGAATAAAAAAAAAATTCTCAAAGCCACACAAAACGTTTTCCTTGATAATGTTGTGCCAAATATTTTTCTTGCTTGTGTTTGCCTGGAGTTGACAAGCACAATAAACTGGCATTACTTTTTATTAAGATACCTTCCAGTCTAGTAGCTATACAGCAACCCAACCTTTTGTAGTAAAAAATTTAATTCTTGCACAAAAAAGTTAACGAAATTCAATTAGCTAATGGGCTTACCGTTGGATCCAGAGGGTCCATGGTCAGGAGGCAGGTATTGGTTGGAGGTAGCACCAGGGAAAGCGTTGCCAACGTTAGAGTCTACACCAGCTCCACCAAATCCAGAGTTACCTCCGAAGGAACCTTGAGCGCCTTGACCACCAACACCTCCTTGGAAAGGAGGGAGGTAGGCGCGTTCCAGGTGCTCCAGGCGAGCTCCAGCAGCCACGGCGATAAGAGCGGTGATCACGAACTGTTTAAATGAGTTTAAATGTTAGTTGTTGTAATGTCATCGTTATATCAACCACTAGATATCCACTGCTGACCATAGGCCTCTCCGAATTACTTCTAGATCGATGGAACGACCTACATCCTGTAGCTATTCAATGATTCAAACTTCAAGTTGTGTGTCTATGTTGTGGGTGAACTTCATGTGCTGCAATATTATACAAAAATAAAATAATGGTAAGGTTTATGATGAGAGTGTTCAATCTGTTTCAGAAAAATACACAAGAACTTCTAGGACTTTGTGACTGACAAAAAGACATTAAACTTTGAAATAGAAAAACAAAGCAAAATTATTTGATTTAAAAACAACAGTCACTTTTATTGTTTTAAATTCACAGAAATAAAATAAGAACAAATAAAAATTACCAGTTTCATGTTTCTTGTTGATCTTGGTTAGTACACTCAAAGCAAAAATGGTTGAAGCTCAGATAGAACTGTGATACTACGACTCGACTGACCCATTATATACCATCTACTGTCGATCCTGAACACACGCGTCTGACGTCATTTTATAGCTCAAATAATAAACCATAGCTATGATACCTCATGTAATTAAATTGAAGCAGTTTTGTGCTACCAAACGTGATCGACCTCGTATGTCAAAATTTCTCTGTAAATCAAGGATTTTATTGTTCATACACGAGGATGTTAGCAGTAGTCGTGACCCTAAAGTAGGTGATGAGTCCATGACTATTTACAGTAGTAATAAATTATTTGAATTTAATTAATTTGAACAAAATGGTGGCTTATGTTCGGTTCATGAGCATGAGCAAATGACACGGGGTTTGGGATTAGCAATTTCTATATTTTTTACACTGTTTTGGGATCTGACGTTGTCATATTTATCCAAATACATATATTTAACAACGAATTACTTAATAAACTATCAAAAAGTGTCTATGTATATGGGTGCTTGATGTCAACAACTCATATATCCCCAAGCGGTCACCGGTGATCGCTCTTCACTAACTACATTATAGATCTTATTTCCACTGTTTAGAGACTACTTTTGTATGAACAAATTTAGGGGATGATTTAAACTGTCAAACAACAAGCGGTCACCGGTGACCGCAACCTATTGTTTTATAATTGTGTCTATAATGACGGTACTCGACGAGTTAAGAGGAATGGGTTAATAACAAAACTTTTTAATTGCGTAATCTAGTAATTGTGTAATCATTGAATTTCATCTACAAACACGTGTTCAAAATATTGAATCCCTATTTACGTATAGTTTTTGGATAATTAAGTTCTTTCAAAGAAAAATAATAATTTCTTAATCACCCAAGATATCTTATTTTGATTGCATGTTCATTATAATTGTATAATGAGATGAATGGTACAACATTTATATTCTAATATCATTTACTTCTATGAGTACAGTCAGAGTAAAAATACTATAGGGCTTTAGAGCTGTTTAAAGTGTGTGAGAGCCATGCTTCGGCACGAGTGGGCCGGCTCGACCGGAGTGATACCACGGCCCCACAGAAAACCGACGTGAAGCGACGCTTGCGTTGTGTTTCGTCGTGTGAGTGAGGTTACTGGACGCCCAATTACCTTCCCCTTCCCCCATCTCCCCAATCCCTGAATTCCCAACGATCCTCAAACTCCTAATCCCCAAAAAGCCGGTGACGCACTTGTAACGCTTCTGGTGTTCCATATGTCCATGGGCGACGCCGATTGCTTACCATCAGGTGATCCATCTGCTCGGTTACCAACTTATGCCATAAAAAATGGAATTCAATTTTTTACAGCTTAGTGTGCGAATTAAGTATATAAAACAATAGGCATTTTACAGTTCAATCTTTAATTTAATAAAACGATTTAAATACGCATATTGAATTATGATAAGACAGACTGAGTTGAAAAGAAAACAATCTTAAATATTTTTTTTATGGGATAAGCCAGTAAATGAGCAGACGGATCACCTGATGGTAAGCAATCGGCATCCCATGGACACCTGGAACATCAGAGGCGTTACAAGTGCGTTACCGGCCTTTTGGGGTTAGGATTTTGAGGATTTTTGGGGATTCAAGGATTGGGGAAAAAGGGGTAATTGGGCCTTCGGTAACCTCACTCACACGACGAAACACAACGCAAGCGTTGTTTCACGTCGGTCTTCTGTGAGGCTGTGATGTCACTTCGGTCGAGCTGGCCCATTCATGCCAAAGCATGGCTCTACCAGACTTTTTACTACATAATTTACTATTGGTACTTTTTTAGGGTTTTGACTAGTTCCAAAAATTATAGGTATTTGCATAGGTATTAAGTTGGATCATATTAGAACATAACTAAGAAAAGATGCAACAGGAACATGTAAATTTCTCCCACACATATTAAATGAATAGACAAATAAATCGCATATTACATCCATGAAAACAAATAACACAGTGAATGATAAAGTATTGACCATAAAACAAACAATAATTTGGAATTAATACAATTTTCTTAATTCAGTAAGTATTTTATTTTTACACCTGCCTGTACCTACACATGTATATTATATACCCACAAAATTCTCCTTTGATCGCATATTATGTTAAAAGAGCTACAACTAATTGATTTTCATTCATCACAGCAATTAATATTTGGACACGGTTTGTATCAAACAAAATGTTACGTTTTTATTGTACGTTTTTTTTTTATAAATAAACACCTGCCTCATAATCGGTCGCCATCTTTTCTGGTGTTTTTTTTTTCTTTTAATTCTTATATCTACTTTATAGTTTTCGGCTATATATTTATAGGGTTCTTTGGGTAAATGTATGAAATCGTCAAGTTACATACCTACTATTTTCAAACCATAGTGTACGTAAGTATAGTATACTGCATGCGTAGCTGTTTTGTGTTTCTTGTGATTAGTTGAACCCTTCAAAAGATGCGTAGCTTCTGGGCGTGGCTTATATCATTAAAACCATCTCTGACTAAGAACTCACGGCGCGATTTAAATGGAAACGGAATTTTCTAAATTCACGATACCGGAGTTTTCTGCAGTCCTGCAGCCTCCGCAGTTGCGATTATTATCATCTGAAAACTTGGTGGTTGATTATCGCAATACAGGCGGGCTACAACAAACATTTGAGATCCAGAGCGGCCGTCCCATTGCGTTTGCGCGCCAACCGACCGCAGAGCGCGCTTGTGCTAGCCGCGGCAGCTGTGGAACCGCGCCGGTGCAGCGGCAACCGCAAACAATCGCAACCGCTACGGGCGTAAAACGTGCCTTAAAAATTGTTGTGATTTTTACATACAAATATATATATATATATATATTCTACAAAGGCTGTGGGCCCGCAACCGCGACGGGTGCAGGAGATGATCGCGCTATGAGTCCTTAGCCTTAGTAATCACCATCAGCACCCATAAGGGTGCCACTCGACTAGCTCCAGAACCCCCACTATCCAAAGCTTGTTATGGCTTATGAGCCGCGAAGGAATAATTAGACTACGGAATCTTTAGGCCGTGAACAAAAATCATGCTTTGCTTTACAATTTTTTTAATTAATTCATTAATGACGTAGTTTCAATCAAATTTCAAAGTACGTATTGATTCATCAATCGGTTCCTTTGTACCTATATAAGCGAAATATATAGTATACATTGGCTAGTTGAATTGTGCTCAGGTGGTTTATTTTTTGGTAGGTAAACGTTTTGTGTTTCGTTATTTTTAACCGACTTCAAAAAGAAAAAAGGGTTTTCTCAGTTTGACCTGTATTTATGTATATTCGCGATTATCTCGCGATAGACTGAACCCATTTGCAAGCGGTTATAACTAAACTGTTTGTTGTTACAGCTAAGAAAAGATTTTAGTATATAACATAACATAACATCACGCTTTTTATCCCCGAAGGGGTAGGCAGAGGTGCACGCAGAAGTAACACCCACTTTTCACTATTTATGTTATGAGTCCCATGTAATAGGGGGTGAGCCTATTGCCATATACCGGGCACATTTTCAACCTCCGTGCTATACTATTGAGATTTTTTTAAAACCCAGTAATACATTGCCCGACCCAGGAATCGAATCCGAGAACCCTTGGCCAATGAGGCAGTCAGTTTAGTATATTAATTAACCGAATTAAGAAAAGAGGGCGTTGAAGTCGTTTTTTTAAACGTAGTTAAGAAATATTTATTTTATTAAGTATTAAAGCCGCTATAAAATGGACTAATAACATAGATAATGTTAACTGGTGCCCAACATAAGGACAATAAATAGCCGCATGCCCTGAAGAATAAAGTCATCATCACCAGTACATGATCTCGAAATAGTCTACTGTTGGATTATAGGTCCTCTATTATGAAAATTATCTCTCTTTATTATATGAGACAAACATTTTGATGCTAGATATTAAATAGACAATAATAGTTATAGCTTTAACCTTACATTCACCTAACAGAACATAAAATAATTTCAAAACTCAATCAGATCGTCTAATAAACAATACTTGACTGTGAAGCGATCAAAGTAAATTTGCGAAAGATTTCTGCGACGCGAACTAAGCAACTGAGCATTCGACATCGATAAAAATGTTTCCTCTATCTGCCTCATTGGTTAAATAAAGAGTTTCTCTGCCTACCTGGGTGCTTGAAACCAATCTCAATGTCAATGCAATTTCAATCCAATAAAATCTCAATAATCATCCTATGTCAATACTATACAACCCCTATCGTAGCTGCTAAAGTGGCATTTAGAGTACGGAATATAAAACCAAACTCAATACCATTTAGTTCATGAAATATGTTGGGTTTGAAAGGCGTGTCGTTACAACTTTTATTGTTTGATTTGTTCCTTTGAAGTGGAGACAAAATGCTAAAGGTTATTGTTTTTTTCTGGCAAATTCAATTAGAGGTTGGCAATATCAACTTCTTTGAAATTAAACATTCTGGTTTCCTTGTGATAAAGGAAAACTCTTTCACTTTAATTCAGTGGTATGAAAATAAACTTAGAAAGCAGTTACTTGGCAAAAGTCACATGGAAAATCTAATATATAAAATGCTCGTGTCACAGTTTTCGTTGCCATACTCCTCCGAAACGGCTTGGCCGATTTTGATGAATTTTTTTGTGCTTATCCGGTATCTATGAGAATCGGCCAACATCTATTTTTCATCCCCCTAAATGTTAGGGAAGTCTACGCCTAAATTGTTTTCGAGATTGCGCGTCCGAAGTCGTGGAGAAGCTAGTTACTATATAAGAATAAGAAGAAGCATAAAGTGTATTTCAGAAACAAAATACAGTCTATTATTTATTTCCTGGGCTTCACACTAAGGCTGGTTTTAGAGTCGCGCTGACCGTCGTCGAAGACAGCCGACACTTATAGAACATCTGTAAAGCATTTTAGAATAATGCGTACATCGGTTAGCTCTGACGGATAAAGTTACGGCTTGGTCGTCATTTATCAAACTATATGCTGAGCTATGAGCGCTGAGGTCAGCGTGAGACTAATATCAGCCTAACATTCCATGTTGTGAGATCCAGACTCCTTAACTTCATTTGCAATATAATTTTTAATAACTCTCGATTTTTGAAAAAATTCTATAGTTATATATTTTTTGTAGTTTATTCTTTCTTCGTTATTGACTTTATTGTGTTTGTATTTACCTAATTGAATGTACAAGTCATGGTAACGTTTTCTAGTAAATCTGATTCATTGGTTATCATATGAAGCTCATCTCCACGTACTGATGTACGAGTACAACCTTGACGTGATTGAAACAAGGGCAGGTTAACAATAAAACATTACATTCTTTTTAAATATTGTATTACGTTTTACGTATTGTGTTACTGTTGTATAATATTACACCATGGCTACTGTTTCTTGAGATCTAAATGAGGTGTTGTTAGCCTCGTTATATTTATTTTCACTTTCATCATCATCATCATCATTGAAGGAAAGTTGCGTGATTGTGGCAATTAAAACGCGTGTGGAATATATTAAGATATTGGTTTATTCTGAGAAAAGTAGAAAACAAGTAACAATATTATAACAATGGCGTGAGGAGAGGGAAGTACAGTGGCGCCACCAAACATTAACAGGTCAAACTAATGCTGGTTGCGTTCCATTACTCTAACAATCATCATGATATCGTCCACAGCTAAACATAGGCCTCAAATTTTCATTTTGTGCTATTATAATTAATATGTATGTAAAATGTATTTTTACTCTTGTTCATATTTTAGTTATTTAATTTATATCTATTTATTTAGTTTTTTGGTAGTTATCGTTTCTATTGATTTTGTTTTCACTTTTATATTAATTTTATTATTTAATTAATGCTGTGCTCCGAACAGCGTTACCGTAGGTGTATAATTAGTACATACTACCACGAGCTGGTGCTGAAAATCAGCGCCGTGGACTCGAGCCTCTGTATCCGTTCCACAGTATTAAGCTGAGCTCCAGCGCAATTACAATTTTAGTAGGATATTTAATATCAAGTCTCGTATTATTTATTATTTAGCTATTACTCAACTTAGTTAATTTCATAGATGGTTGGATATAGACTTAACTCGTCGAGTACCGGTTTTGTAGACACAATTATAGAACAATAGGTTGCGGTCACCGGTGACCGCTTGGTGTTTGACAGTTTAATAAATATATTAACCGATTTTTATTAAAAGGTCAAATAATTGAATTAATTTGAACTATTTTACCAGCAATTACATTATTTTTTATTGCTTTACCATCTTTACGTTTACTAACTTTTGCGACGCACCATGGGTTTTTTTTTGTGTACCTAAATTCTTGTTGTGTGTCGTGGCGTAATAAATGGTTTATTCTTTCTTTCTTTTCATAGCAGACGTTTTTACCTTTTTTTGATCAAAGATGGTGCCAAAAAAGCACGTGACCCACCTGATGATAATTAGTGTAAGTCAGTAAGATTACTATTGCTAAATGTATTCTACATCCATATACGAATGAATTGATGAATGAACTATCGTTTTTTCTTCTCTTCTAATAATATTATCTGATTTATTTCGTTGCCGGGTCCAAGAGAAGTTATTCATGTACCTGGGATGCGCCGGACTTTAGTGTACTACTAAGCTTACAGGAGTTTTTGAAGTTTGTGGTAGGCTAGTTACCTCTTAAAAAGTAGGTATGAATTGACTGAACCCTGGAATTATTTTGGCTGCTAGACTCAAGGGTGACTCATTATACAAACATAGCAACTAGTGTCTTATTGATAGTCTTGTGATAGATAATGCAACACGTAGTACAATCGCGGTGAATCAATTGAAAAGTTAGAACAGTTTGGGCCTTAAAATTGTGTCCAGATTATGGTTATTTATTTACTTCAAAATGAGGGTTTCATAATTATATATACTTACATACTGACTCTGTGTATCTCTTAGTACACATTCGTTCAACTAAATGTAATGCGATAATCACAAAATTATTCAAACTGCACATTTATAACGTCCTTCAAGGCATCGTATAACAATTCTGTTCGCTCCCTTTCATCTGTATCGCATCAAAACAGAAAGTAGGTACTCTAGTTTTTTGATATTGCTTTTTCAAGTAAAACTACAAGGCTTCGATGCGATGTCATCCAATATTATTACTTTTAATGAGCTTCAACTTCACACGTACTCATATAAAAGTCGCAGGGCTCGTTGGATGCGACACAGTTTGCTTCTTATAGTGAAAACTTGAAGACAAAAATATGAAACTGGTACGTGTTTAGTTAATAGAAAAAAAATAGAAATTCCATTGAATACAATAATTTTCAAAAATACGTATTACAATTCTAAATGTTTGGCTAACACTCAAATCAGTGCATTGTTGACATAGGGACTGGGCAATCCTACTGCTGGCTACTGCACTATAGGTCCACAAATTGTTATCCGGGGGCTGCTTGTAACTTTGGAAATTAATCTGAAAAATGTAGAATAAAAGAAACAGTCGAAGACGAGTTTGTTTCAAAAAACTTTAATATTATTTTTTTCCTTTCGCAGTTAATCATCACCACACTCTTCGCCTTGGGAGCAGCCCAAATCCCATCAAGAAACTACATCCCACAAAGTCAAGGTCACGGAGGGCAAGGTGGCTACCAAAATAACCATGGATCCCAAATAGACCCTGGATTCAATCTTGGTGGAGCTGGTGGTGGAAACCGGAGACCTCAACAGGATGCTGAAAAGAATGCTGCTACTTTGAAACAAGATCAAGATGTTAGTGAAGATGGAAGTAAGAAACGGTTTTCATAGTATTTTTTTTATGGAATAGGAGGCAAACGAGCAGACAGATCACCTGATGGTAAGCGATCAGCGCCGCCCATGGACACTCGCAACACCAGAAGAGTCACAGGTGCGTTGCCGGCCTTTTAAAAAGGAGTACGCTCTTTTCTTGAAAGTTTAAAGGTCCTATCGGTTCGGAAATACCGCCGACGATAGATCATTTCACAGTTTTGCTGTGCGAGGCAGGAAGCTACGTGAAAAGCGCACAGTTGTAGCCTGCCAACCATCTATACGATGAGGATGCATATTCAAAATAAAAGTCATTGCATGAAGATGGCACCTTAGTCTAACTTCGAATACTAGCCGATCTGAAAGTTATTAAGTAAATCCATTTTAAATTAAAAATCAAACGTTTAGTTTATTTGCAATGATTTTAGCCATTACTTCGATTATTGAGCAAAATAAATTTAGTGGTAGTAGATTTAACGATTGATCTATTTTGACTCTAGACCATCCATGAATGAATGGTTAAAATCTCTTTAGTAAAGTCATGATTTAAGATTCCTCTAAGAAATTGTACGCCATTGAAGATAGTAAAGTACATCATTCAAATGTGAATTGATTTTAAGCTATAACATAACCATAAACACTCCCATTGAACACCCATCGAATTCATTTGTATTGTTTACTTCAATATTGTGATCGCCCAAAGCCAAACGGATGAAGGTATTATTTTGAATTCGTGCCTCGTTTATAGTTCACGAAACAATAATGAAAGTGCCCTTGTGATAATCCTCATATGTCAAGGTTTTTAATTCTCATACGTGAGTATTCTAAATTAGTTCATTTGCGTTTTCTTGTTATGCTACAAAAGCTCCAATTAATATTTGTTTTCCTACAATAGGTGATGTAAATAGCACTATATCGTTTTCTGGTAAGGTGTCTTTTGTAATGTCGGATGTACTATCTTTTGAAGATTTATCAAGGGGTCTATGATAATATTAATAATATACTACTGGGTTTCAGCTATAAAATCGTATTAAACTGTCAAACACCAAGCGGTCACCGGTGACCGCAGCCTATTGTTCTATAATTGTGTCTACAAAACCGGTACTCGACGAGTTAATCCTATCAAACTTCTATATTATCGAAGTTATTATTTTTTTAAAACATTATCCCACATTAGGGTTATTTCCTGTGTCGTGGGTGCGTTTACAAACATACAAGTTCACATACACAATGACACCCAGACAGACAAAAAGTGTTGTTCCGTGCGGGAATCGAACCCATGACACGTTGCACGGCAGCCAATTGCCCAGCCACCGCACCAACCGTGTAGTCACCCAGTCACAGAGTCAAAGTCAATTATTACCCATTAATGTTTTACTTTCCATAGGCTACCACTTTGGATTCGAAACTTCGAACGGCATCCGAGCTGAAGAAGCTGGTAACCCAGTCGAGGCCCAGGGTGGATTCTCCTACAAGGGCGATGATGGTCACACATACACCGTCACCTACACCTCAGGAGAAGGTGGTTTCAGACCTCAGGGTGAACATCTGCCAGTTCCACCTCCCACTCCTGAAGCTATCCTGGAAGCATTGAGGAAGAATCAACAGGATGAGGCTGCTGGTATCTTTGATGACGGTGAGTATAGGAGTAGTAGTGGTAGATCCATATTTAATGAAGCAGAATTTATTTTTCCTTTCATTTCTAAGTAGTTATACAAATTATTAACCAAATTTTACAATTGTCTATTTAGTTTGTGCACACAACATTGGCTTTTATTACCCCGTAAATAATGACGTGATTTGCAGATATTCTCTACTTACCGAGGGGTATTGGTATCTACTAACGAACGAAAAAAAAACTAAGAAAGAACTAAATAACAAATGTTCAACGACTCAAAAGCCTACGGAATTTTTTCCTTAATAATATCACATTACTTTATGCGAAATTACAAAATTCCTCTCATTCCCAGGTAAATACCACCCAGAACAACACGGAGGTGGTCAGCACAACGGATTTGGATCTGCGAATCACCAGGGAGGCTTCAACGCCAACAGTGGTTATCAATACTGATTTGATAACCCTACTTTCTCCGATATTTGTCAATGCATAGAATTTTATGATCTATGATAAAGAGTACAAGTATCATTTTTCTAAACTCTAATAAAGGTTTCATGTCTACAATATTGACAAATACAATAAAACTGCAACAAAACTGATTTTTAATTGTGCAATAGTATTTAAGGTCTAGATTAAGTAGTTATGCGATGTTAATATATAGAAAATGTGAATAAAAAGTGTAAGAATGATTTTATAAAGAAGATCACAGCAATCTAAGGTATTTCATTTATTTATCCAAAAAATCTCTTCAATGTATGTTGATTGATAATTTTGCTAACGCCATCTATGTTACAAACAACGAACTACTTCAGTTCGTAGCCATCATCTAACGTGCCTAGAGGTCACTTGTAAAGTTCAAATACTGTAAAATTGATAAATGAACTAACTGATTTAAGTTGTAGCTACCTTCTAATTCTACTAGAGGTCGCTTGTAAGGAATGATTAGATATTTTTTAAATAGTAACAATTAGATATGCAAATTTTTACACACAATAATTCATTTCGATAGCAGATGGAGTAAAATCAAGAAAAGGAAATCAGTCTAATAAACATACTGTACAATATAACACTCATTTTTCACTATTTACGTTGTAAATCCCATGTAATAGGGGGTGAGCCTATTGCCATATACCCACATTTCCAGACTCTGTGCTCGCTCGCTCGGAATTTTTAAAACCTAATAATACTTTGTCCGACCCGGGAATCGAACCTGTCTTGCCTTGCCCGGCAGTCGCACTTGCGACCACTCAGCCAACGAGGCAGTCAGTAGTTAGCAGTAGTCGGCCAACGAGGCAATTTATATTAAAATAAATCTTTTATTATTGGGTACTTTATTTTTCGTTTCTTTCTTAATTGAATTTTAATAATTGTGTTATATTCTATCTGTGTTCTATCAATATATCTACAATTTGGATGATGATAGGGTATGAAAATTAAAAATCTAATTAGTCCTTATGTTAGGCAAGGAAAAAATATTAGACACGTATTTTTTTACATTGTCGTATAATAAAACAACACTTAGATAAAACGAATCAAAGTTTAGGAGTGGGGGCTAAAACGTCAATTCTACGTATAAAATGTACATAGAAGTGACGTCACGCGACATTGTAAATCAATATATCGTCGAAAGTATCCGTTTCTATAAGAAAATTAAAAATACGTGTCTAATGATTTAAAATATTCTACCAGACGGCCATTAAAACAAAAAATTAGGCATTTACCCTATTGTAACATACTAATTAATGGGCTATTTAACAATCACACATGCATTGCTCGGTCGTAGCGCGTAATGTACGGCCCGATAGCAACTGAGACACGAGATCTATAATGACAAGTGCACGTCTACAGGTCAATTAATATTTTTCTACTAATTCTGGTTTTACATGCAGTAGTCTACCTACTGCGTGCATCTCTGTTTTTTTTATAACATAATATGCCGCAGTAAACGAGCAGACGGATCACCTGATGGTGAGCAATCGGCGCCTGAAACACTAGAGGAGTTACAAATGCATTACCGGCCTTCTGAGGATTAGGAATTGTTTGGAATTAGGATTGTTAGGAATTCGTGGATTTCGGAGATTGGAGAGAAGGGGTAGGCAGAGGTGCACATTTCGGCACTTAATGCCCAGGGAATATTTTCATTAAAACTTTCATTTAAATTCATTTAGGCATTGCAGACCTGCTTCAGGTGTGTCCTACCATTGCTAGTATTTCATTTTTTTTCTTCTCTAATAATATCTTCTCATTTATTTCATTGCAGTTATTCATTTACAGTTATTCATGTTCCTGAGACACGCCAGACTTCAGTGTTCCGATGTCTTGATGGTCGTATCTTCTATAGATTCTAGCTTATAGGAGTTGCTGCGATTTTGAGAGATTTTAGCAGGCTTGTCCCAATAAAAATTACCTGCTATAGAACAACTATTTAGTTAAGTAAAAACGCGGGTTACTCACGTGAATATACTGAGAAAAGCTCTACTACATTGAGCTGCACGACGTCGCCGCGAAGCGTCGCGCGTCGCGCAGAAGAACCCCTCTGTGGTTCGAAACTAGAGCTTTTCTCAGTATATTCACATGAGTAACCCGCGTTTTTACTTAATTTAGTATATGTCTCACGACAGTTATTATGAAAACTATTTAGTTGTCACACAAAAAAATGTGTTGAGCAAAAATTGCACCCAGCCATTGCGCAAACCAAGTATTTTTTTTTAAATCACCGTAAATGTAACGTTACAGATGAGATGGTTATGTTATATCTCAGAATGCTCCTCATGTCAAGGCCATAACGCATGTTCACATAAGTTGCAAAAAATAATTCATTTTTTGCGCTCCTAATCTCTAAATCTTCTCAAGTATATGCACGTGTAATGCAGTGTTACGTACAAAATATGTATGAATGCGGCACATTGTTAGAAGTTGAAAATTTTGTAGTACAAATTGTTAGTTAGTTGGTTGTTCTGAGAATGGATTATTATTAACTCGTCGAGTACCGTCATTATAGACACAATTATAGAACTTTTTTTTTTAAGGGGGATAATCATGGAATGACTGCTCCGCGACAATTATAGAACAATAGGTTGCGGTCACCGGTGACCGCTTGGTGTTTGACAGTTTAAACAGGATTAGAAAACTGAAGTGTCGAGAACCGATGATTATTGCGGTAGACGTGTTCCAGTAGAGCCTGTGTCTAGACAAAATGTCGTGTAGGGCGATAATATCTACAAGATGACCGGCAATCGCTGGATATTTGTAGAGTTGAAGATCAAGGTCAATGGCGTGCTTTTGAAGAAGCTTATGTTCTATTATAGTGTACAAAAACGGGTTAAAGATGATGTGTTAAAGTATAAGTAATATACCATAAATAATTGATGGTAGATTTAGTGAGTTACCTTAAATTATATTCGGTACAAAGTGATCGTTGCCGTTATTAGGTACCTAATATTTGTTTTAGTCTTTTACATAATTATACATATATTTTGAGGTGGTGAATAGCTAGGTGGCATTATGTCCACCTTTTTTCAACGTGTTTGGGGGGAACAAGTAAAACAAGAAAGTAAATTATAGAAAAAAGTATAAGTTTTTATTCATAGAATAAATAAGTCGCATCCTTCACAACTCACTGGTAACCATTATGACTATATCAGATTACACATACTACGACACTTTCCTATTATCATACTCCATTTTTATTGATATCCATTTTAATTTTAGTATCTGTAAGCATATTTTGTTAAACAAGAAATACAGTAAGAAAATCAAACATTTAAATTCAAATATCACAATTAAAAACTTCACAAAATGTACTTACAGAAAAGCCTCATGAAAATTAAGTAAAGCATTTTTCATGTCATCTCATTTTGCATTTGTTTTATCGTCAAATTGCTTCACTGTGTTACCAGTGTGCGTGTTTGACCTTCACATTTTTGAAATGCGAACACCAATTAAATTGTTACGTTACAGGTGTGTGTGCAATGCAAATGGCACAAAAGTTGCTCTACTTATATTTTTTTGTTTAATAAAATGAAATATAGCTAAATACTGATATGTTATGGTCGTGCTTAGTATTTGTAAGTTTGTCTGTATCCAGCCTGTGCTCTCGCGAACTGGGGTTGTTGGTAGGCGGCACCAGCGCTGGCAGCGTCACCGTATTTGCCAGGGTTGTACTGACCTGGAATCGCAAAGTAAAATCATTAAAAAAATGTAAATATGATAATAGTAAAGTTTCATACAGCTGAAGATAGTTAAATCAAGTTAAGTATTTCACATTTTTGCCAGTTATATTATTATAAGTACCATATCACAATACTCCTACACATTCACCGTGTTATTATCAGAATAATCATTTAAAACAATAGCCCATAAACGAAGATAAACTATTAGAATTTACCACAGCAACATTTTACATCATATTCCTCAGAAATAATAAAACACATGTTGACAGATCTTTTATACCTACTATACCTAGTAAATTGCCATAAAACATTATGGGTGTATTACACTAAAGTTCAAAGCTTTCGTTCATTTGATAGATTACTAACATCGTAAATGTTACGAGATTGCAACAAGACTGTGTAATAACATTACCGGCTTATTAAGTAAATGGATAGCACATTCTCTTGGAATTAACAGCGATTAAATGGCATTCGAATTATTATAAAAAGGCATTTTTTTATTAGGCTGTCCTGCCAGTCTCTCAAAACCGCTGCTAATTCTTTAAACCAGGATCTAGTAGATACAACCATGAAAACACCGGAACACTGGAGTCCGGCGCGTCCCAAAGAAATGAATAACTGTATTGGATCCCGCAATGAAATAAATACAGAAGATATTATTAGAAGAGAAGAAAAAAAAAGCCTAATTAATTAATAGATAGGACATATTTTGGTATGTAGTTATGAAAGTATGAACGTTTGTGTTTTTTTACAAATGGACAACAACCAAAGTACCTAAGAAACTATTAGACAGGTATCTAATAATTTCAAATAAATATTTAACCCAATCGCACTACATTGTCTTAAATAATTCTACACATCCGGCTAGAATTAACTATACAACTTCATCTCGCGAATTTCAAAGATGCCGACCGTCCGTCGCGAATCAGAAGTGTACATGACCTTAGAATCTCCGTGGGACAATCCCTTCACTGCACTGACCTATTGTTCAGTAACACAGTAGCTATTATCCTCAACGAACTTATGTTCCCGTAGATTATCGATAACAACTTTAATAAAACAACAATGTACTCTAAACCCAACCTTGTAGTTCAAGACTTAAAAGCTACTACGACTGTAATTTAAAATTGGCAACTTGAAGAATCGTATTAATGTATTATTGTTAAGGGAAATTGGACTTTATGTAGTGTGTTATTAGGTGTAAAGGTGAAGTAAATGTAGACTGGTCCTAGTGAGGGGTCATTGAGTAATATTTGAAAGGTCAGTGTACTAGTGCAAGTGCTTACAGGTGAATTTGTTATACTACATTATAAATATCGGTATTTTATGGGACCTTATTGCTATTTATGAATACGAGTTATTATTGCATAGAACTTTAACATGTTAATAGCATAGAATTCTATCTATCTGTTAAGTCAGGTCTGCACGGTTGGCGCGTTGGTTGGGCAACTGGCTGCCGCAAAACGTGTCGCGGGTTCGATTGCCGCACGGAACAACTCTTTGTGTGATCTACAGATTGTTGTTCCGGGGCTGGGTGTCTTGTATGTTTGTAAACGCACCTACGACATAGGAGACAATCCTAGTGTGGGGCAACGTTTTTTTAACAAAATATAAAAAATGTGCTTGGAAGCCTCTACAAGCTTTGAATTTTGTACTGTTTACTTTTTGTCAGTAAACTGAGGAGGTTCCTAAAAACTGATCCGGAAACTTCGTACTCCGTTACACCAACTAACTTCAGTATTTAAAACATCAACCTTACACGCAAATTAACAAAGCCTACTTTTGCACAAACCACAAATAACTAAATCACCAACTATTATACCTTACAACGTGTCCACAAAGACATTTAAACACACCGCCCAAAGTAATGTAATTGAGTGACATTTCCCACAGATACAGCGCATGCGTACTATCAGAGTATTAATAGCAGCCATTAGTCTGTGTTTAAGAGTGCCTTCTAAAACAATTTGCTTGTTAGATGTTACTAGAATTATTACAACAGTCATTGTTGCATTTCGTAATGTAGAATTAAGTTGTCAAGAGCAGCTATGTTAGATTTCACATCTGTGGAATGTTTATTCTCGACAAGACAGAATTGAATTCTTTTTATCTCTAATCGTATTGTCATTTTCTACTATACAGGGTAGCATTTTGACGACTGTCTATGGGGTTTATCAAACTATCGTGCTGACTTACTAAGAACAGTGAAAGCCTCAAAAATAAAACTGCTTTGCCATAGAAATTTAACTGAGTTCAACAACACTGACTCTATAAGCAGTTGCATTGTCATGAATCGACTAATTTAAAGCAATAATTTTTACGACTAAGTTCTGATATTTTACTGTCATATCTCTATTAGCAATATCTTCCAAAAAATTCGACTTACCATCATCAATGATGCCAGCGGCCTCATCACGAGCGTTCTGCTCCAGAGCCTTCAGGATCTCTTCAGGTACTGGGGGAGGGGTGGGGATGTGAGCACCCTGGGGTTGGAAACCACCCTGACCAGCGGCGTAGCTGATGGAGTAGACCTGGCCATCATCACCGGTGTACTGGAAGCCACCTTGAGCCTCGATACCGTCAGCCTGGAAGATTGAAGGGTGATTTGTAAGTAGATGAACCTTATGTGAGTATTTAGTCTGACAAAGTATTCAAAGTCTGGTCTTAAATAGTTCAGTTGTTTTGGAGATTAACTAACTTGGATAAATAGATGCATTATTCGCAAATTAGATTATTCAGTTAGAATCCATAAATGTTCATTGCTAATATGACAATGGGTCTACGTTATTTTAAGGCGTGAAAGTATGGGAAAAATCCTAACTAAAAGTCACCTAAAATCATTTATTCTTTCTTCATCATCATAATCATCAGCGTTAAAGTCGCCACTGCTGACCAAAGGCCTCTTCTCACACGGAGAAGGTGAAGAAATTAGGCTTAAGTGTTGGCCTTTATTAAAGAACATGGAGTTATTTTAATAATTCCTAACATATTTACAAAAAAAAACATACACAACAACATAACATAAAAACATAACATCACGCCTTTTATCCCCGAAGGGGTAGGCAAAGGTGTACATTACGGCACAGTGCCACTGTACAATGTAACACCCACTTTTCACTATTTATGTTATGAGTCCCATGTAATAGAGGGTGAGCTTATTGCCATATACCGGGCACAATTTCAGGCTCCATGCTACTACTGAGATTTTTTGAAAATCCCCAGTAATACTTTGCCCGACCCGGGAATCGAACCCGAGACCCCTTGCCCGGCAGTCGCAATTGCGACCACTTGGCCAACAAACAAACCAATTATATAGTTTACATTTAACATTGATCTCAGAAGATGAATGTTCTAAATAATGATTATCTAAATGTCATTACATTGCAATAATAATGGATGCCCAGTAAATTATACTATTACGTGTAATATTATTACGTTGTTTGAGTAACGAGGTTAATAGAATGAATTACATTTTCTTATTAGTTCTGACCGTGGCATTTTGTGGTATTTCTGGAAGGTCAAATTGTTGACCTTACAATCGTCAGTTGTTTTAATTTGACAAATGGATTCATTTGAACTTCTGTGTACAGTATATTTTAGGAGGTAATTTTGTCAAAACACTGTGATATTAAATTTTCATTTTCTATGCCTTTTTGTTACACTTTAAAATGGTGGGTCGAATAAAAAGTACCAAATTATTATTTAATAGAAATAAATGTTGACTTTGACTTCTTAACATCACAAGAAAAAGTTACTTCTCATCTAAAGACAAAATATGAACGAATTATATTCTACATGAATAAAATCTGCATTTCAATATTATGAGACGTCAATATTATTAGCAAGACATTTGCAAGAAAGTCTTAGTCAGAGTCATAAATATTACTACACTAATATAATTCCTAATAAGGTAATAGTAATTAAAAATGCAATGATGCAGTTATTTTGTCACGTTAGCAGTTATTGAACACTTTATAAGTTAGTCATCTTGCAATTAAATAATATAACTAACTAGCTTTCAACTAGGAAATTTATTTCAACTTTCAAGTTTAACGTCCAAGAAAGAAATCGTTTGTAATTTTCCTATTTTTTCATTCATCTATTTAGTGTGATAATGATAAGGAAAATTAAAAAGACAACATCTCACTTCTGTTATGTGCAGTCGACTAATATGAACCTAATTGGAGCCGATTTTCGTGACACTTTTTTTTTAAATTTATCTGTTCATCACGAGACCCTTAGTTTATGTTTTCAGTTTAAAAAACAATTGACATGCTAGAATTAGCTGCACTAGTGGAATTGCGCTGGACTGATCAAGTCAAATCGGCAACGGGTAACCCAGTGTCAGACTGCGCCAAACAATCCACAAATAGAGAGAGATGACGGGAGATCGTGACTAATCGTGAGGAAAGCTGTATCGGCCACCAACACAAATATGGCCGCCTTAACGTGACCACGACCGCTCTGCCAAGAGCGCAACGATAGAGAAGAAGAAATACGCTCTTATTTATTTATTTATTTATTCTTTTATGTACACAATTTTGCTATGGCACATAAGGCGAACTTAATGCCATATGGCATTCTCTACCAGGTTTAAGTTGAAAATCAGCGAAAAAGAAGGTACGGAGAATAAACTAACAGCAAAGAGTGTGAGAGAGAGAAAAAAAAAAGAAAATATTACATAATATAGCTATACATATATCTTATACAATACCAAAGAATATATATAGTCATATGCATAAAATATATAGGTATAAATACATACATAAATATATATCGACGAAGGCCTAAACCATGCTTTGCCTTATTGATGTATTCACGTATCTATCATTCACTGTCACTATCATTCTGAAACGGCACTTGTATAAAATCGAAAGTACATAGTTACAAGTATTATTTAATAATAAACTTGACAGTGATGGTTATAAATTATAAAGTTATATTATGAGTTATTGACTCATACTGACTGAAAGTAAATACTACCTACTTTCCTTTTTATATAATGACTGCCTATAAAGGCTATATAATATTAGTCATTTACACCTTCTGCCAGAGGCTACGCCCGCGTTCCTCTAAGATAAAGAGTAGCCTTTGTGTTATTCTAGACAATAATCTACCCTCGTTCCATATTTTATCACGATCCCTTCAGTCGTTTTGACGTAAAGGCGTAACAAACAAACACACAAACTATTGCATTTATAATCTAGTGAGGTAAATAAGTAGGCGTACTTCGCTCGAATATTTGTTAATCATTGAAGTATCTTGACATTCCAGTAATGCTTTTATTTTGTAACCGTTAAAGTTCAAATTGCTTTTATGATCTTGTTCAGCTGTAAAGCATGGTTTAATGTAGGAGTAAAGTATTTATTGAATTTGTTTATAATCTCGAAATTCCTAGCAATTCATTATTTATCCATTAGAAAGATTTTAAAATTCCAGCTAAAATGAATCAAAGTCAAAGTCAAAGTCAAAGCATTTATTTCAATTAAACCATAGTTTGGTACTTTTGAAACATCAACAAATACAAAATAAATAATAGTCTGTCAGTCAGTCCGTCAGTGAAGCTAGGTGAAGCTGGTGGTGCTCATTCCAAAACGTAGATTCGAATGGAGAAGAACGAGCAAGAAACTCCATTCGTTATTCTTTAATAGTTATAGTTCAACACAAATTTTGAAATTGCGACCCACACAGACATTTTTCGATACTAAATTAACGCCTTATTTCTCAGTACTCTGCGCATTCTACAACCATTTATTAGCGGATGACCTAGTAATCTTTTTCCGAATGGCTCGCCCATATGAGTCTAGGCGGCTAGTCTAAAGGGCAATGGCCGGTAAAAGGTCAATATTATGCAAATACTTGCGGTTTCAAAGTTATTAGGTCCATTTGTTCGTTTGTCAATCTAGTTAGTATGTTTGTAAAAGATTTTATTGTATTTCAGTATAGTTTAACATGAGCCAAGAATACATTTCGTAATGTTTTATTGGCATAAAGTACCTATTGTTATTTTCTATTTACTATGGAAAATGGCATATAAATCTTCTAAATATTTGTTAATTGTGGTCTACAAATCGTAAGCTACAAATCAGTAGAAACAATTATAGGTAAAGTGTTAATAAAAACCGCATTGAAATACGCCAAGCTGTTTCGTAGTTCCAAACACATAGACGCATATTGCTGCTTTGTTTTGTGTAGGAGATTTTGTTAATATATTTCATCTCTTTAGCCTTTTCTTATGAATTATGGAACACAGTCTCATTAAAAATCATTTTCTTATCAATCATTATTATTCCAAAATACCCGAGCATTGTTAAAGTTTTCAATTTCTTTAAGTACGTACAAAATTAAATTGTAAGCAACCAGATCTTCATGTTGCTAATTTATTAAGTTAAGTCCAAAGTAATATCAGATTAGACCACCCATGGTAATTTGAGTGTTGTAACTATTTATATAAAATTGAAAGGATGAGTAACATTCACTTTTGTGCTAATAACATTAGGTTTTTATCAGAGCCTAGTCTAGCCATTGCTTTGGTAATGTCTGCTTATTTTTTTTTTCAAGGTTTAAAAGGCTTTTCTACGAAGGAGGTTATTAGGGTTTTTTTAAGGGGGGAAAATCATCGAATGACTGCTCCCGCCTGGGTGAGGCGGCAGGGAGTGTCAGACTCTTACTGACTAAAAACCACCCCGTTCCTTTTCCTGCACGTCGAGCCGGAGCCCCGGTTACCCGTTAGGTTCTCCGGTTATTACAGTGGTATTAGGGTATTAAGGAGGGTATTAGGATATTTTCATGTTATGAAATTAAAAGTAATCGTTCACTTTTAAGATTTTTTGCACGTGATATTGAAGTTATTTTTTCCTTGAATGTCTTCTTACTTTACACAATGTTACTTTGGAGCCAAACAATTGAAACAATAAATTCCAGTTTTGCTATAATAACTTTAGCATAGAAATAACCTACGAAAAATTATTTGGCATCTGTGCAATAAACCCTACATCTTCTATAACCATATCACTTCACACATTCACTCAACATCCTGATCTGATGTCCCACTTACCTCACGGCCCTGTTCCTCAGCCTTGATGCCATTCTCGGTTTCGTAGTTGTATCTGAAGGAATCTTCTTTCACGTCGGAGTCCAGCGCTATGATTCTAGCATTCTTCTCGAAGGAGGCCTGAGGGCGGTTGGACTGTTCAGGGTAGGCTGATGGGGCGTACGCCGCGGCGGCGAAGCCGAAAAGAGCGGAGATCAGGATCTGAGGGTGAAAAGAGGTTGTTTAGATAATATGAAGAGCATGCTTTTGGTGATATTGAAGTTTATTCTATGTCCTATAAGTTAAATGTTGATGATGATGGATAATATAGAGAAAATAAAAATTAAAGGTAAACAGTTCAACTGTTGCATGATGACTGTAGTGTTCTAAATACCGAAAATACAATATTACTTAATAAAACATTTCTGTTCGATTATGGGACTCATTGTCCTCAATATTACTATATTATATTTTATATTATATTACACACTAATTATCAATTTACTCATAACAAGAAATAAAATCAGAAAACAAATGATGTATTGTAATAAAAAGACCTACATAATTATATGTCATTAGCCTCGTTTCCCAAAACTATTAATTTACTTGCATCGCCTTCATAACACGTGTAACAATATTCGATACAATGTACATAGCAAGACAATGGAATAAATTATATAAGAGTAATTAGTATGAACTACCTTTAGGCCATGAATTAATTTTATGGGAGTTAGTGTTCCGTATGTGTTGGAAACCTTGATGCAGGTGCTATACATTTATTTTTATTGTGAGAATGTAGTCTCGGACAGTTTTATTTTCATTATCGTTCAGACTGCCTTTTTTAAGGGTAAAATCATCGAATGACTGCTCCCGCCTGGGTGAGGCGGGAGTGTCAGACTCTTACTAAAGACTAAAAACCACCCCGTTCCTTCTCCTGCACGCCGAGCCGGAGCCCTGATAACCCGTTAGGTTCTCCGCGACATCGTTCAGATTGTCTAAGGCTTGATTTTATCATAGTGTATATTGTAATAAAAAAGCTTGGGTTTTACATGTGAATGTATTTTATTTATTTATTTATTTATTTGATTTGTCAGAATGATATTAATTTATTAGCCATTCGATTCATTGAATATTCAAATGAACAATGACAAATAAATCTTCATTGTTTGTTTCATCCTATAATTGTGATAGAAAAGAAAAAATGATGATACGGAACCTTCACAACGTGTTGCAATTTGGCCCGAACTTTGATAGATGACTGTACTTAACATTGCACAAGTGAGAATTTTGCGCCACATTGCAATAGATCAGATATTATCATCGTCCCGACCATTGTCTTACATTTTGACATCGATTCAAGAACGCTAACTATTCTAAAACAAGTGTTCTCGCAGTTCGCAGTTCAAATTACGAATTTGCATAGTTATTTTTTATTTTGCGCGCGAAATCTGACGTTTGCTAGTTTGTTTTTGGAATCTGTCAACGGTTTTCTTTTTCTTTTTTGTACAAAATTTGCTTATGTCTAACATTTTTATTTTTTTGTTTATTTTTGGAATCTTTTTCTTTTTTTATATATTCGTTTACCTGTTATGGTCTACAGTTTATTAATTATGCTAAATTATAAAAGAGTTCAAAATCTTTTTTTTGTATTTATTTTTATAAAACATGTTACATCTATAATTTTTGAAGTAAATGACTATAATGTTATTTTGGGAAAGAATATGTAATTTAGTTATAAGTATACTAATTATGTTTTCAGCTCTGCCCGTGCGAAATCTTTGTGCAATGGTTTGCACAAGAAGCTTTAGAAATTGATGAGCATAGAGTTTTGTTAATATGTAGTCATTGCTATTTATTATTATGGTATTAATTTAGTAAACTAAGTAATGTTTAGTTTTATGTGAAGTTAATTCATGTAAAGTTTTATAGTGTAATAAAAATTGCGAAATATAAACAATTGCGACAATATTCACATTTGTAGAATACTAATAAAAAGCTAAAATAATGAAATTGTAGTTTCGTATTTATAATGTTTAAATTGTAAAATATAAAACATTTTTTTTAATAATACAAGAAAATTTACGTATATTTTCCGGAACGATAATTGAGAATATTAATATTAGGTACTGATGCACTGTCAACCACAGCAAATAAATTATTTTGTATTATATTAAATCACTTATTAAACAGTAACAAAAATAAAATTCACTTCAAAAAAACCGCACAATAAAACAAAATACTAAAACTAAAAACAACCCGAAATCACAACACTAAACCGATTCCCAAATCGATACCCGCCCACTCGATTAATCGGTAAACGAATCGAATCTCGTAGTAATATCGTAACTCACCAGTTTCATATTGTCAGGTCGGAGGTGAACACTCGAATGTAACAAACGGGGACCGAACCTGCATATATATACACATCGGATGATAGGAACGTTACAAAATTCATTCTAGTTCATAATGATGCCACTAACAAACATCTGTACGGATACATTTTTTTGCGTAAGTAATGACATTTTGGTAAAATGATTGGAACATGTGGTATGCTTGTTTTTGGATCATTAGTTCAAGGTCACAGATAACCTCTCTGTTGGTGGTTAAAAAAACAATTAATTTTGCTCTACAGAAGTGCACTGTGTAAAATTTGAGTTCCGCGTTCTATATGTAAGATCCTGATGTCGAAATTCGATTAGATTGAAGCTCGAAGATTCATTTTTGTTAATCTGAACTTATAGGGAATCAATTAGATATTGACTAACTAATTAACGAATAAGGTTTAGGGTAGGTAGAGGGTACGTACGTGAAACTGAAAAAATATATCATAAGGTTGAAGGAGGAAATCAACCATTGTGCCTGTCTAAGTAAGTAAATTATCACAGAAATGCGTCAGCATTCCATAGTCTCTGCCTACCCTCTTCGTCAGCCTTCAATTTATAACTATCACATGTTCCATATAAAAAAATCTTATTGGTTACAAGTAAGTGCTTCCTTAACCTTCAAGCGGGCGCGCGGTCTTTTGTAACGGGAGCGGGCGCGCGTAACCGAATAGACCTATGGGATGAATAAGACCAAGAAAGCAATAATTATGGGATAATCATTTATTAATTTGTACTAAGATACAATATCATTGTCTTTAAAGAGAAATTTGTCACAACAAGTAATTAAAATTATGAAAAAGAAGCAATTATTAAGTCACCTAAAGTAACTCAAATATTCTTTGGATCAAAATAAAAATTAAGACCCGTTTACATATGTTAGGTTGGTTTATATACGTAGACCAAAAAATAAATAAAAAGTAAGGATAAAACTGTAAAAACTCATTAATTTTGATTTTATTTTCGTCTGAGTCAGTATTCTAGTAATTTTTCAGATTTTGCTACTTCGTTACTTTATCGCGTCCTGTAAAACAGCTATTTATTTCCGAAAGCTACAAATTATTCTCATCTAAATCCGACAAGGATGATATCACATCAGATAGATGTTCTTCTAAAACTATGTGATGAGAAGTTTCAGAGCCTTGGTTGCTAAGCTCTGATTCACTCTCTTCTTCGTCTTCTCTTTGTAATTCCTCGATTACTGTACTTTGCGATAACCATAAACGACTTATTTAAACAAAAAATGCTTTAAAACACCAAAACTCCAAGCTGAATTAGATAATATTGACATGTGTATGTCGCGTTGGGCGTCGCGCGTAACCTATTCGACGACAGGCGCGTGTAGTCTTTTCAACGACTGCGCCAGAGCCTAAATAATTGTAATTTGTGGAGTGTAGAGATCGCTTCAAGCAACGAAATAGTTTTTATTTTACTCCTAAAAAGATAGTGACAGGCTACTAGAAATTAGAAATGCATGTGACAACTAAAAATAAAAATACGAACGAAAATGTATTAACCGCGGTCGATTCGACTACGCGCGCCCGCTTGAAGGTTAAAGAATTACAATTTAAAAATATTATAATAATTATAACAAAAAGAAAGAACTGATTAACTTTTACAAAAATTATTTGTTGATCATAAAACCATCGACGCATCGTAATAGGATATTTATTTGTTTCAAAAAGAAAACAGTGCGACCATAATAACCTATCAGAATAGATGGAAACAAAAGTTTACATGTATGTAATTTGACTAAGTATATTTGGATGACCAGTACAAGGTTATACTGCGGTGGAATAATTGCAAAAAATAATAGACAAGTTTTCGGTTAACCTTTTTAATGGTCATAGTTTTCGGTATTACAAATGCCTTTGGGTTTTCCTATAAACAAAATGTCTGCGTAAAATTGTAGTTAGGAAGTTGGCGGTAATTTCTTTGTCCTTCAGTAAATTGTTAATTTAATAATCAGATAAAAATTCTAAGGTAAAATGTCTTCAACTTTGATTGGGGACATAAAAAGGATTCATTGTCCCAAAGAATAGGGTGAAGTTGCTACGTATTTCTGCGTTTCAAGATAAAGGACGGAAAAACTAAAAAAAAACATATTTTTCTCACATCTCCATATAACATATTAGTTTCTTTAGAAATTACTGTCTAGAATGTTTACCTTTTTAGTGTAATACGATAGAAAAATATTAATTTACCATAGTACCTCAAATCAGTATTCGATAAGGCTACAATAATATTTCAATGCCTAAATTACTTCCTGCGAGTGTTGTCTAGGCTTTCTTTCTTGATACTTACTATAACAATGGCATAGCGAATATGAAAATAATATTTCTAGACTGGAACATTTTAATATTTCTAACCTAAAGATAGTTATTTGAGAAAAATACCACTATTTGTGGGGACAAACCTGCACACTCAGATGAGGTCAGAGTAAATCAAAGAGAAGTTAAAACAAACAAACAATAAACGAATCAGGAGGTGAATTTTTAATTTAGATACAAAGATATAGTCTTAATTAGATTAGAATTGCCGGGATTACTTTACAGTATAACAAGATTAGTATCAAGCTTCCTTGTCCTTACTTTTAAGGAGTGGAATCCTTTGCCAGATTATTTCATTTTTTTTATAGTAAACGAGCAGACGGATCACCTGATGGTAAGCAATTGGCGTCGCCCATGGACACTGGAACACCAGAGGCGTTACAAGTGCATTATCGGCCTTTTGGGGATTAGGAGTTTGAGGATCGTTGGGTATTCAGGAATTGGGGAGATTGAGAAAGGGGAGGGTAATTGGGCCTCCGGTAACCTCACTCACACGATGAAACACAACGCAAGCGTTGCTTCACGTCGGTTTTCTGTGACGTCGTGGTATCACTCCGGTCGAGCCGGCCCATTCGTGCAAGCATGCAAGCATGGCTCTCCCACTCTTAAAAAGGTCCTGAAAGGTAACCTAAGCGTCTTCAAGGCCAGTGTGAATAGGTTGCTTCTGGGACGACGTGCTCTATTGTAAACCGCATCATCGCTTACCACAAGGTGGTGGTCAAACGTCGGCCCGTCAAATAAAAAAAAAACAAGAATAGCAAGAAGGGAAAGACTAAAGTGTTAGTCTGTACTTTGTTAGATATTTTTTTCTAACATTTGTTTTATTTTCTCAAATAATAAAGTAGTAGGTATATAAAAAAACAACTTAAATAAATAATGATAAGTAAAATCATAATGGTCCAATTTAAATTCCATTCAATAACCTTCAAACAATATTGGATTTTATTCCATTACAATAATCGTCATTATGGATTATAAATAAATACAAGTACATACATAAATATAAGTACCATAATAATGTATGATCGTATTATGGACACTTCATTAAATAAATCATCTATGTCTCATTTGGTCTAGAAGGTTGACCAGGTTTTAAAATCTTAAATTCAGCTAATTCCCCAGGAGTTAGTACATGTCCTTACTCTATTATTATAAACCGGGCTTGATTTCAGTCATCTGCAACTTTAAGCCTACCACAACCTCCCAAAACCACTGCAACTCGTCTCCAGGATCTACAGTAAGTACAACCATGAAAACACCGGAACACTAAAGTACTGTGCATCCCGGAGACCTGAATAACTGTCTTGGATCCCGCAACGAATTAAATTAGAAGAGGTTATAATAGGAAAAGAAAAAAAGACAATAGTTCCCACTTCCCTCGGTGAATAGGGTAGATGCCTAATTTTTATTTTAATGTCGGTCTGGTAGATTATTTTAAATCATTAGACACGTATTTTTTAGTTTCTTACAGAAACTCATAGGTACTTTTGCCGATATATTGATTTGAAATGTCGCGTGACGTCACTTCTTTGTACATTTTATACGCAGAAATGATGTTTTAGCCCCCACTACTAAACTTTTATTCGTTTTAACTAAGTATTATTTTATTAAAGGTACAACAAAATAAAAAAATACGTGTCTAGTATTTTTTCATTACCTAACTAACGGACGAAATATATTTTAATTTTCATACCCCGTTATCATACCTATTAATGCAGGAGACAGAATGACTTAACTTAAGCTTCCGCTAAGCTGTCACTTAACACTGAATTAAGTAGCTTATATAAAATGTAACAATGGTAGGGCTTCCGTAAAACAGATAATAAAAAATGATAGTTTTCCCACACTACAATGAATACTGAATGAAGTTTATGAGATGAATTACTTTCATTGTGATCATAATAATATAAAGTAATTTCCTACTGTCATAAAAGTAAATGTAATTATTGAAGAATAAGTTCTATTTTCACCCAGTATTTAAATTAACTGTTCATGGATATAGCAGTCCTAAAAATGTTAATAATTCCGAGTATCTCAAAAATGAAACAATGACTCATAACATAAATAATTTAAAGTGGGTGCATCGTAGAGTGGCATTAAGTGCCGTAATGTGCACCTCTGCCTATCTCTTCGGGAAGTAAAAGGCGTGATGTTATGTTATATTATAAAATTGACGAAAATAATTATCATAAAATGGTAAAACTCAATAAAGAGTTCGCGAACTTCTTCAAACCTAAAAATTCTCAAATTCATTCCCTCAATTATTTTGCCAAGAACATATTATTATATAATATGGTGCAACTTAACCATCGAAGACCCAAAGGCCAAATAAAAGATCAATCAATAAAATTCGCATCGGAAATAGCGAAAATGGCAGACTCAAAACAATTGAGGAAACTATTCTGACAACGTTTTTTTTTTTTGTTTTTTTTTTTTTTATATAATTATATATATATATAATATATTGTAGTATTTATGCAGTAGGTATAAGTATTTGTTTAGTAGTATGTATTATATGGTATGTATATGTCTATACTGATTTATAAAATATTGTATTAATATATTTATTCTATAGGTTATTTATGTGTGTAGTATACATATTACATAACTCTTTTTTTATTTTTTCAATTGTGTTCTGGCTTCGCATCAACCACTTCATTTCTCTGCACTTCCCTATGGTTGACTGTAAGAGAATGCCTTAAGGCATTAAGTCCGCCATTCACTGATGTATTTTGTGAAGAAGAAATAAATAAAAAATGGCTGAATCATAAAATTTCTACGAGTATTAA